CCATTATAACATAACCTAATAATAATCCTTGCATTTGATATAGCGCTTTTCACGTCTTCTAGACATCTCAAAGCGCTTCACAGAATATATTGTAAAATGAATTGACTATAAATTTGTGGGCGAAACGCGGCAGCCAATTGCGCACAGGAGTGTCCCACAAACAGTCGTGGATTGAAGTGATCAATTTATTATTTTTTCTTCTTGAGGGATTATTATTAGGCGTGTGGAGTAAGGAAATTTGCCCAAGGTTTCCCTCTGCTGGGAATCAAACCCAGGTCTCTCGCTTGAGAGGCGAGTGCTCTAACCACTGAGCAACAGGACTCCACAAATATTCTAAGGAATTCTAAAATAGTTCATTTAAAAGCAAAGCGAAAGACGTAAGAAGTTTTGGTAATTTCACGTTCCACGATGTGACCCTCTAGTGGCAGAGATACCCAACAACACTAGTCGGATTATGCTGCGCTGCTACACAGTAATAGTGATGGGCAGAATTTAGAGAGAAGAATGTTACAATTTGTAAAGACTTTCAAATGTTCTTAGATTAAGTTGTGTGAAGAATATGAACAAGTAGACTGTTGGATTAAACACTGATTTCATTTTATTTGAATCAGGAGAATTTTAATTGAAAATTAGAAACCTGATGTAAATAAAGAGTCAGGAAAGGGAATGATAATTTGGATTCACCCAGAAGAAGTTCTCAATAAATACTGATGGCAATAAGCAAACAATGCAAAAGAACACTCAAATTAAATTTTAACCATTACACAGCCAGCAGAGATAGGAGCCAAGCACAACATGTTTGCCCTCTGGCTCAGTTAGCAGCAACACACTTTAATAGTCAGAGGCAAGTGTAATGTAACAGGATACGCACGTTGTCGGCTGTTTTTTATTGGGTTGGAGAAAAACAACAAGAACAAAATGGCATTGGTACAGCACCTTTCATGTTGGGAGGATATCCCAAGGCACTGGACAGACAGAGCTTCGGACCCAAGCTGGGGGTCGGGGTTGGGGAGTGTGGAGGGCAGTGGGGGAAGGCAGGGTGATCGAAAGCACGGTGGAAGGGGAGGGTCTTGAGATGGGTCTTGAAGAAGGCAAGGGGAGGGGTGAGGCAGCGGGACTAATTTTATCTTCTGTCCCTTTCATATTCTTATTTTTTTTCCTGCTTTGTAATGTATTCATATAAAATATTATTATTTCCAAAACATATCACATTTATTGGTTTCTTGCCAGATGAGTTATGACATTTCTGTTGATTAGACTTTCACCTTGATTAATTCTAGAGTTTCTTAACAGAAAACTTCTAACCTTGGTAAGAGATGCGATGTGCGAAATTGATGCATTCATAATTACATATCAGACTGCTTGTTGATGTAATCTTCTTACAAAGATGAAGAAAGCCAAGAGCAACTGTTACAGTAACAAGCAGCGCAATTATGATGTAAGACATAATGTGTAGCAGTTGTTGGGGATCATCTGCAATGAAAATGTTTCAAAAGTTTTGTCAACTTATAGACTTTGCTGGTAAATTTTATAACCCTACATATAATAACTGTTTGGCAACCATGTTGGTAGTGATATAAATAGTATTGTAACTTTCCTCTGTGACATCGTTGAGTTCTCTTTCTGGATCAGATAGGTTATTTGTCTGCTCCTTAGTGAAAGCTGAAAAACAGGACTTATTTAGCACTATTGCAGCCTGTGCAGCATTAGTTGTCAGGTCCTCTCATGATCCCACCTTCAGTGGCCATATTCCATCGCTTGTTTTTGTTTTCTCTTAGTGTAACTGAAAAACTTTTATTATTATTATCCTTCACATCTCTTGCCATGTTCAATTCAAAGTTTTTTGATGCCATTCTGATCCCTTTTTTTTGCTACAGTCCTGGAATGCCTTTTGGTAATGAATCTGACGTAAATTTGTGCTATTTTCCTTCACTGGCCTTAAATGCCTTGTTTCCTCTCGATGAGTTGCTTTGTAGCCACGTCCAACCATGCAGGATTGCCTTTAAGAGTGCTACCTTTGCTTCCCACGGGAACACATTGTTCATTACCTTCATAATCAATTCCTTAAAGGAACTCCGTAGTTCATCCACTCCCTTTGCCATATTTGGAGTCCTGTAGCTCAATGGTTAGAGCACTCGCTTTGCAAGCGAGAGACCTGAGTTCAATTCCCTGCAGGGCGAAACCTTGGGCAAGTTTCCTTACTCCACACACCTAATAATAATCTCTCCAAAACCAAAAACAATAAATAATTGGTCATTTTCAATCTACGACTGTTTGTGGGACATTGCTGTGCGCAATTGGCTGCCGCGTTCGCCCACAAATATACAGTCAATTCATTTTACAGTGTGGTTCTGTGAAGCGCTTTGGGACTTCCTCCCGACGTAAAAAGCGCTATATCAAATACAAGGATTATTATTATTAAGGATTATTATTATTATTATTTAAGCCTACCAGGCCCATTCCGACAAGATTTCTCAGGCGCGCACAAAGTCATTCCTCTTGAAATTTGCCAGTATTGTTTGGGTTTTTATAACCTCGCCTTATCGAGCCAAGCAATCCGGCAGTGTACTGTTGCCTGCTGCCTGTCGTCCGGCGTAAGCTGCTCATTTTGATTTTTTGTGAAGTGGAGTGACTGTGTATTGGTAGACAAATGCTGCAGTCCAATTGTGCACACTAATGTCCCACAAACAGCCACAAAACAAACATCCAATTTTATTTAGTCAGGAACCTGGGAGAAACGCCCTTCCCTTTTTCGAGATTGGACCTCAATTGAACGTCTCATCCAAAGAACAATGCCTCTGACAATCCAACACGCTTGCAGCACTGCACTGCAGTATTATCTTAGACTATGTGAGTTCAAGTCCTGGCAATAGAGCAAAGGTTAAACCTTCTAACAAAGACATTGAATGGCAGAGGATTCACACAGATCACAAACATCAGCACATAGTCTTTTATATTTAGACAGTGTTCAAAATGGATGAAGAAACAATAATATTGATTTTGATTGGTTCTTGTCAGCTGGTACATGGTTGAAGACTCACTAAATACAATGCTTGCTGGTGGATATCATACATTCCAGCACATCACCATTGAAATGAAACACAAACTAAAGGAGTCAATTGCGCAGGATTTCTTCAGAAGAGTTTTGTCCGTGATGTTGACTAATGGGAACACTGCTCTAATTTGGATCTATTCTCAGAGGGAGTGGGGCTTCTTCAAGTTGGTGCGACATAAAGGATAACTTTCATATGGCATGCTTGGCTGGGTCAAAGGTCTCACCAACTGTGTTACAAGTGTGCAAAAGCATGGCCAACAAGTGAGGTACAAAAGGATCCCAATCCTTACGCCAAAGCTCACCTGCATATCTGAACTGTTTGAACTTACTCTGTTAAATTCTATTCAGCAGTTAACTACTCTAACATTGTTACTGCAGTTGGAGGAGTCTGTGTTGAGAAGCATTCTTCTGATTCTCTTACAACAGTGTGCGGTAAACCCACAGCTTGGGACTATTTTAAAGTCAGCAGGTTGGTGCTGATGTCATTAATGCGTGTTACGTGCACGCTGAAGCAAGAGACGTCAATAATGCTTCTTGCACATACAGCATACAACAAACAGGAAATTAGATGAGTCATTTTTTAGTCAGCTAGTTAATGCTTCCAGTGGATCCATGCTAGGTAGTGTTCAATCAATGGCTGCTATAACAGGGGACCCCTGTACTTCTGGATAATGGAAGGACTCATCCCAATTGGAATTTTGGAATTGGAAGGGATCTAATGAGAAATCCAGCAAAATTGATCCCTAAATGTCAGCTCAGGGAAGCTGTTTGCACAAAACAAACTAGTCATTCCTGATTGCAAACACTAGCGAGTTCTACAAGCCATAATGCTAATGGGGTATTTTCAGATCTTCACCGATAGCTTCACCTTTAATATGCTCACAAACAATTGAATTATTAGTTAGTTGCTAGCATTTTGTGTAAAATCTACTCCCAAGTACAGCTGCAGCACATGGGTGGTTTTGTGTAACTCAGTGATGCCTGGCATGTATTCTACTTACAGGTCATTAGATTTTTAAACTACTTTCTTGGAATTCAATTTTAAAAACATGTTCAGGTGGGATACATAAAATAAATCTCCCAAATGTTCAGAGAGCAAATGAACAGTGGATAATCACTGGTAGAAATGTAACCTGTTCGCTTACAGTGGGACAGCTACCCCTACCCTCCCTGCCCTCCACCGCTCCTGATCCCAACCCCCAGCTCGGGTCCAAATTCCTGACTGTCCAGCGCCTTGGGACATCCTCCCGACTTCAAATGTAATTTGTTGTTGACAGCTGGGAGTTTGACACCTATCCACTGGATCAAAAGAGGTTTCAGCCTCTTTTTGTCTTCAATGCCACCTACTGGAGACAGGTTGAGAGGACAAATCAATGGTCAGGAGAACATTTAAATCAGGTCCAGTACAAAATGGATTACATACAACAGAGGCCTCATGTTCAGTGCTCATAATAGTGGGCATCAGCTGCAAGTTGGAAAGCTCCCATTGCAGAAAAAGGGAGGTGATCTATTCCACACACCATTTGTGCTCTGGTACTTGATCCCCTGCAATAACGCTGCCTAACTGTTGCTAATTAGTGTCGATGCTCTGGTTGGTTTTATGCCTTGGATGTAATAGTCACTGGGCTTGGCTGGGGATTACAGAAGCTCAGAGCATTTCATATTCAGACAATTGGTCATTAGTTTCATGGATATTCATGGGACTTTGCTACATGCAAAATGACTACTGTGTGTTTGCCTACAAACATAATCATTACACCACAGTAATTATTGAAAAAGTGTTTTGAAAGATGTTATAATTTTATTAAGCTGCAGGGGAAGTGAAAGTTCTGTGGACACTGACACAATCTAGAAACTTTTTTGACAAGGCTGGACTGACCTGCTTTGCCTGGCGTCTCAGACTGTCGATCACTGCCGCTGGCTCCATTATTTTCCATTCGAAGGCAATGATCTTCAGCACATCTTCCCCACAGTTCAGGACTCAGATCAGCCCCCTGTCCTTGAAGAGGTGAGCCATAATCAGGCCGCCTTTATGGGAAAATGAAGTAGTTAGGTAGGAATTTTTAATCTGCCTATCAAACCAGGAAGATATGGACTCAGCCATTGGGTCATGTTTCATGTAGTTATTATTATAAAACACATTACCTGGAAATGGGACAAACGCATGTCTCATACAAACAAAAAATGGCAGCCCTTTATCTGTTTGTTTGTTTCCCATCATGGCTTCCTGATCAGGCTGTCAGACATTGCAACCCCCGCCTCCTGAATCAAGAACAAATTGAAGTATTATTGAAATTGTGTTGGAATAACTCATTCGGTATTTCGGGTCTACTCCATCACAAGGAGGACACAGGCACAATAGCGCGGTGACCTGTAAAACCAGCACAGAGAGTGGAGGGGACAGGCATAGAAAACACACAACAGCAAAAAAATGTTTTAGCATTTGTCAAACATTACATTCTAAATTCAAAGAAAAAATAAAGGTAAGGAAGGGTCATCAAGATCAGTGAGATTGAGGAATGTGGATACTGAAAGTGCGAATGTCACAGCAGTGATATTTTACCAAACACATCTCCCCTATCTCATATTAACAATATGCCTCACTCCCAATTTCTCAGGCATAGCATTTCCAGTTACCCCCCCGCCCCACCACACACACACACACACAACAACACTGGGGCCAAAGCAGCTTCGACCGAAGGGGCCAGTACGTGGTAGAGACTGGACAGTCGGATGTCGAAGCGGACCCCACCCCTGCAGTACAGCTTGTCTGCGATGTCGTTACTGAACATAACAGTAAACAGGCGTGCAATGTAATGATCCTTGGCCCAGAGCAGAAACAGCTTCCTCCTCCTCCTCCAGGTCACTTAGCAAAAGTCTGTCTCTGCCGTCAGTTCATTACAAAATTCAGATGCTTTGAGACCCTCGCTGACACCAGTGCTAAAATTACTGCAGATTTGCCTACACTATCTCACCAGAGGCACATCAGCTATAGATTAACTCTGCTTAACTTCCCCGGAACTTCTTAAAAAGTTTGAACAGAGGACTTTGTAGTCCCAAGTCTAGTGTTCAGTTAACTGAGCTACTCAAGATGTTCTTTTTTCATCCCCATAGGATTGAAACGCAGGAGAGAAGCTGGAATGTAGCAGAACATAGAAAGGAAAGGAAAGTTACCGAGCTCTCACATATCTCACAGCAGACAAATCAAGGCGCAGCAACGGAAGTGACCTGGGACTTGGTTCGCTGAATTAAAAAAACACATGCTCAATACCACCAACATTCAGAATTAATAATAGTAATCCTTGCATTTGATATAGTGCCTTATCGTGTCGTTGAGATGTTTCACAGAATAGGAAGCTACGATATATGTTAGATCTTTAAATGTGTTGGCATCAAATGTGTCAAAAAGCAAGCTGAGAAAACTGAACTAAAGTGCCTGAAAGTTTCCTTCTTCATTTGGTCCATTCTGAAGAGTCAAGGAACTGGTACGGGAAGATATAGTGCAGAAACTGACTATCGTGGGTCAAACGAATCCTACAGAAACACATATAAAATTGCTTCAACTTTACTGAACAAGTTGTGGCTGTATGATCTTACCAGTAACTCCCTCCTTTGCAATTATTCTCTCCTTTTTATTCAACTGTGTTTACTTAGGTCATGTTAGAGAAGAAAACTTAACTTACAGTACTTCAAGGGCTTTGCCAAATCTATCATGACACCAGATGCTGGAAAATATGAAACAGACCATGAATGCCTATTCTCTCCCATTTTCTCCTCCCTGCTTGTGAGAGGAACTTGGCCTCTCCACTCAGCCCAGCTCAGGATCAAACTCCACCAGTGATATCTACAATCTGATATCTACAATCAATCATCCTCTACACCCTGGCACCTCCCTAACTTTCTGGCCTGCTTTCTCCCCATGCCACCACCCGTTGCCTCCACTCGGCTGGCTCTGGCCTGCTGCTTGACTCTTGTCCCTTCCGCTCCATTACTGGTGGCCACACTTTCAGCCATTATGCTCTGAAGCTTTGGAACTCTCTCCCCCAATCCCTCCACTTTGCCCCCTGTTTCCCCTCTTTTAGATCACGAGTGAAGCCCCTACTCTATGACTTTGCTTACGGTCACTTCCTGCCTCCCCCGGCTCAGTGTCAGTTTTTGGCACTGTTAAGCGTTCCAAGACACTGCCATACGTGAAGGGTCCTGTATAAATGCAAGTTGTTGTTAATGATGAGATATCTTCCCAAAGTGGAAGATGCTTTGAGACATCCTCCCGGAGTGGAAGAGGCTATACCAAATGTAAGGAGAGGGTTATTATACTCTCTGTCCAATGGATCACACAGCAATGAAACTGACCTCAATGTTTAAAGCTAAAACCCAAACAATTTATTTTATGTTGCAGAATAACTATTTAAATATTTTATTTTTTTGTCTGTGTTTACTGTTACGTTTTGGGGGTTGGTTTCCATGACATTTCTTGTTACTTTTATTTTCTTCAGTTGAACTTCAACAAGACCGAGGCTCCCGTCAGCGCCTCCTCACCTCAGGCGCTAACAGTATCACCATCCATGGTTGCTTTGATTCGGTCTTGGTTTGGAATAATCATGTGTGTCTATATGGATCCCATGGCACCATTTTTTTCATAAAAGCTTCTTCCAGGATCCCAATCAATAATAATAATAATTCTTGCATTTGACATAGCGCCTTATCACGTCTTCGAGACATCTCCAAGCACTTCACAAAATATACTGTAAAGTGAATTGACTGTATATTTTGTGGACAAAACACAACAGCTGGATTGAGTGACAAATTATTATTCTTAATTTTTTTTAAAAAAAGGATTATTACCCAAGGAAATGCGATGCGCCAATCGCCGAACAAACTGGGTTCCTACTTCCTGCTAGGTTAACAGAAGCATTTGGAGTAAGAAAATTTGCCCAACTTACACGCTGCCTGGTAATCAAACCCACATCCTCTCGCTTGTGAGGTGAGTGCTTTAACCACGAAGCTACAGGACTCCAATAGACCCACACATAAAATAGTTTTTTCATTGCTGTTGGTGGACATTGCTATGTGCAAATTGTCTGTCACATTTGCGTATAAATATTCAGCTTCTGTGAAGCAACTTGAGAAGTTTTGATGCTGTGTTATATCAATTGTAAGGATTAGTCGATTCCAGAAGCTTGCGAATATGAACACTGAAACACATTTTTCATCAGATTTCCCCCCACCTCTGCTGTCAACAAATAGATGAAAAAGCTATTCCCAGTTCAACAACAACAACAAAATTGCATTTGTACAGCGCTTTCACATCGGGAGGACGTCCCAAGGCACTGGTGTGCAATGTACACCAGTGCTTCCTCATTAGTATCTGAACTTTGTGATCAATTTACCAATAATTGTCCAACATTAAAATCTTTTAATGGGTTAATAAATTAACAGATGTGCTAATACTAAACAAAATGCATGTTAAGGAGGAACATTAGAGCATCATATTTTCACGTTTTTATTAAAGAACAATAAATTCTCATAAATGTCAAAATATTAATGATTTTATATAAGCGTGAACAAAAGATTGCAGAAATGTCAGTCTGTCTGACTTCTGGAATCACTGAAGACGGTTTTCCAGTTTTAGCGACAGTGGTAGACTTTACTTCTATAATAACTTAACCCATCCATTCAGCTTCAGGCAAAACATCACCCGAGTTTACCTTAAGACACAATCTGTTTACAGAAAAAGAAAGAGAATGTGTAAACGAGAGAAATAGATGCATGACACAAAAAATTCTGCGCTGAAATTGGCTGCTGCATTTGCCTACAAAATACAGTCACTACACTTTACAGTAAATCCTATAAAGCCCTTTGAGACATCAACAACAACAACAACAACAAGATTCCATTTATAAAGCGCCTTTCACGTCAGGAGGACGTCCCAAGGCGCTGCACAGTTGGGTCATGACCCGAGCAGGGGGGAAATGGTCAGGGTGAGGGGAGGGAAGGGAGGGAGCGAGGAGGGGGGAAATGGTCAGGGTGAGGGGAGGGAAGGGAGGGAGCGAGGAGCGGGGAAATGGTCAGGGTGAGGGGAGGGAAGGGAGGGAGCGAGGAGGGGGATGAGAGTCGAGAGGGGAGCTGAAGGCTCGGTCAAAGAGAAAGGTTTTGAGACCGGCCTTGAAGGAGGAAAGGGAGGAGGCGGCGAAGGCACTGGGGGATGGAGTTCCAGAGCCTGGGGGCTGAGAGGCTGAAGGCCCGACCACCGATGGTAGGGCGGTTGGGGCGGGGGACGTGGAGCAGACCGGAGCCAGAGGAACGGAGGGTACGGGTAGGTAGGTAGGGGATAGTAGGTCGGAGAGGTAGGAGGGAGCAAGGCCGTGAATGGCCTTGTAGGTGAGGATGAGGATCTTGAAATCAATCCTCTGGGGGATGGGGAGCCAGTGGAGGCGAGCGAGGGTGGGAGTGATGTGGTCCCGAAGCCTGGTGCGGGACAGTACACGAGCTGCAGAGTTCTGAATGACCTGCAGCTTGTGGAGGGAGGTGCCGGGAAGGCCGGCGAGGAGAGAGTTCCCGTAGTCCAGCCTTGAGGTGACAAAGGCGTGAACCAGAGTTTCAGCAGCGTGAGGGGTGAGGTAATGCCGTAGTCTGGCGATGTTCCGGAGGTGATGGAAGGCGGTGCCAGTTGTGGTGCGGATGTGAGGGAGAAAGGACTGCTCAGGGTCGAACAATCCTAATTATTGTGGGCATTTTGCCCACAAATACACAGTCAATTCACTTTGCAGTATATTCTGTGAAGCTTTGAGACGTCTCGAAGACGTGAAAAGTGCTATATCAAATGCAAGGATTATTATATTACTAGTCATGAAAAAGTCAACTTTTAAAGGAAAGAATAAATAATGCTGTTAGAGGAAAACAATTATCCTTATATTTGATAAGAACACCTTTCACGTGAGAAGAATGTCTCAATGAACTTCACAGGATATACTGTAAAGTATGGTGACTATACTTGTAGGCAAACACAACAGTCATTTTATACACAGCAATGTTCCACAAGCAACCACGAAGAACATTTCTTATATTTTTAATCTGGAGGATTGTTGATCTAGGACACTAGGAGAAACTACCTTTTCTTTTTCAACTGAACAATGGGATCTTTAACATCCACCCAAGCATGCATATGGGACCTTGGTTTAACATCAACCAAAGCGTGGCACCTCTGGTGATCCCAACTGATGTTTGCATTTCAACATGGTTAGCAGATGGGTTTTCCCAGTTTGCAAAGACATCTGGTTGAGTGAAACCAGCCTGGGGTAAGGAGCGTGCAACCCAAATCTGCTCAAAGTTTTCTGATTTGAGGTTAATGAAAACCAAAAATGCTACAATCAGTGTGTTTTGGATAAAAGGGAAGAGAAACTTTGGTTGGTATAAACAGGAAGAACTGACTGTGAAATGTTGTGCAGTAATATATGAAGTAATTGAAACATGGGGGTTTACATTTTGAAGGCAGGAGCCAACATGAATTATTCATCTTTGCCCTCTTTACTAAAGAACACATTTTAAAAGCACAATTTTAATTAATTTGTTTCCTGCATAAACCGCCCTCGTAGTTTAGCTTCTTCCATTTTATTCTCTATAAAGTACTTAAGCAAAAAATCTGTTACTTGTCGTGTCCCATCTGGGGCCCCAATTTGTTGGGATTTCCGATCCCTGAGTTCGAAAAATGACCCGACAATCTAAAGTGGTGTAACAAAGTTTTATTGAACAATTAATCAAATATAAGTATTTACAGAATCAAAGCATACTACCTGTTCCAATGACTCTGGGCAACAACCGTCCGACCTCTATCCTTGTCTTTCCTCTGGCTGCTGCCGACCACTCCTCCTCTTTCACTTTCTTACTGGAGGTAAGTTCCCTTACCCCTGTACATATACATAGATACAGTAGAATCAATATTGATTTCACTGGGAAATGTGCTGACCCTCTACACAACTCCAACTGTTCCAAAGTTACATTTTTTTTTGATGTGTTTCTAACTCCACCTCCCCTTGTCACAGAGATCGGCCCCACCTTTCACAAGCCGCTAGCGACCTTTGAGCAGGCTCTTTTGGCATGGGAAAATATCTGATAAGGAGAAAGAGATATGGCCAACTTCTGGGCAGCCTTCCACAGCCTGCTTGTTTCTCAGCTTTGAGATAGGTAGGTATTGAGACTGTAGCCGTTTAATCAGAAGCTGACATTAACTGGTCCAGCAAAGCTACTTTTAACCATTTAATTATCAAACCTTCTGGAACATTCGGTTGCAGTTTGAAATATACCAATGAATCCCGAGGTGATAGTCAATATATTTCAAAAGGGCTATCGGGGCTATCGGTCGAGATCAGCTTACTTGCTTAGAGTCAACGTCATCTCATCCAAAACAGCTCTTTGAAATTGTTGACATTGTTGCTTTCCCAAACTAGACTATGCGAGTTCAAGATCTCACAAGCTTCTGACTCGGAGGTGAGAGTGCTACCAACTGTAGGTTATGGGAAAATATGGATATGGACCATGGCATAGGTATATACGACTAACTTATCGTATTTATGCAGCACCATATGGAACAAGAAGAAAGAATGATTTGAGATTCTTGATTATATTCAAGGATGATATTGCTGATTTGTGAATGTGTTATAAATTGTCACAGCAATCAGATATCACAATGGATATTACATTGACATTGTGTATCAGGCTGGCTCAGTTTGTACCACTTGCACCTCTGGGTCTTAAGGTTGTGAGTTGAATCCCCATGTTCGGTCGTGGAAGGCATAAAGTCTGACATTCAGTGTAGTGCTGAGACGTTAAACTGAGGTCCGTCTGCCTATTCAGGTGGATGTTAAAGATGCTCTGGCACTATTCGATCAGAGAAGGAAGTTTCTCTTGGTGTGCTAGCCAACATAACCCCAAATAAAATTGGAAACACACTCCATGGCTGTTAGTACGACATCGCTGTGCACAGGCTGCTCTGTTTGCATACAAAATACACACAATCACATAACTTTAATGTGAAACACTTTGAGACTTGTGATCAAGTGCTATATCAAATGCAAGGATTATTGTTGTTTATTATTATTATTAATCCCAATGCTTAATGTAAATAAGATTGTATCGAGTGAAGCATTAAACAGGAAAGCTGCCAAACATTTACTATTGGAGTATGCACAAGTGACCAGGGCCTTTTCTAACATATATTGCCTTCTCAACTACAAACAATTTGGGCAGGCCGCACAGCCAAAGGAAATTGCATTCTTTTTTCCTGCGTTAAAAATTCCACGGTAAACACCTTAATTGGCTCTCATTAACGGATGAGATAAAGACAAGATTTAGTTTATTCTGTAAATTCCATTCATTTATTCTGTGTTCAGATCAACACTGGTTAATAGCTGATAATTGTTTGTAGAAGCCATTTTTAAGAAAATTGACTTTGGGTCGAGATTACCTTAGCTGCTTTACAATTAAAGTCAGCTCATCTCATCAAAACTGTTCATTGAAATTGTTGACATTGTTGACTTCTCTAACTAACTTAAAGACCTTTCTCTTTGACCTTATCTGCGGTCATCTCCCCTCTTTCCTCAATTCCTGCCAACCAACTTCGCGCACACCTCACCTCTCACTCCCTCGTCGAATCCCTCCAGTCCGGTTTCTGCCCTGCCCACAGTACAGAGACTGCGCTTGTGAAAGTCACAAATGACGTCCTCTCTATCTGTGACCAGGGCTCCCTCTGCCTCCTTGTCCTCCTGGACCTCTCCGCCACGTTCGACACAGTCGATTACGCCATCCTTCTCCACCACCTTTCCTCCGTCATCTACTTCAGTGGGCCTGCACTCACCTGGTTCGAATCGTACCTCACAAAATGCCAGCAGTAAATCTGCACAAACGGCTTCTCCTCCCGCTCTCACCCGGTCATCTGCGGGGTACCCCAAGGATCCATCCTTGGCCCCCTTCTCTTTCTGATCTACATGCTCTCTCTTGGGGATGTCGTCCGCTGACATGGGGTACACTTCCACATGTATGCAGGTGACACCCAACTCTATTTTTCCACCTCTCTTTGCGACCCCCAGTCCCCTGATGTTCTGTCAGCCCGCCTGTCAGATCTCTGGGGCTGGATGAGCGCAAACTTCCTTTAGCTGAACGTTGACAAGACGGAAGCCATACTCTTTGGCTCTCGTCAATGTCTAAAATCTCACAGCTCTCCCCTCCTCCACCTACCCGACCTCCCCCTAAAACTCTCCGAACCCGTATGCAACCTAGGCGTCAGGTTCGACCCCCAATTATCCTTCCTCCCCCACATCCAGTCCCTCACCCGCATTGCTTTCTTCCACCTCCGACACATCACCCGTCTCTGCCAATAGTGGCTGAAGGCACAGCCGCCAAGGATAGAGCGGAGGACTTGGGGGACGAGGAGGAGGCAATAGCTCTCTCCAAAAGCCACTGAAACCCTGGTCCATGCCTTTGTCACCTCTTGGCTGGACTACTCTAATGTCCTCCTCGCCGGTCTCCCATCCACTACCATCCATAAAATCCAAATCATTGAAAACCTACACAAAACTCTGCTCCCCGATCACCCCAGTCCTCGCCAGACTGCACTTGCTGCCTGTCCCAGAGAAGATCGATTTCAAGATTCTCACCCTTTTATTCATGTCCCTGCACTCCTCTGCACCCCCCTACCTCTCTGACCTCTTCTCTCCTCAAAACAGTACCCATTGCCTTCGTTCCTCTGGGTCTGGTCTCTTCCTCGTCCCCCAAGTCCTCCGCTTCACCCTCGGCGGCTGTGCCTTCAGCCACTATGCCCCGAGGCTCTGGAACTGCCTTCCTCACTCCCTTCGCCCTCCCTTCCTGTTTCCAGATCTCGGCTGAAGACCTTTCTTTTTGACCCCACCTTTGGCCACTTTCCTTCCCTTCCCCCTGGCTTGGTCCCGGGATCCGTTACTGTGAAGCGCTCTGAGACACCATCCAGCTGCACCAATTCCCACTTGCTAGATGGTTCTACGGATGATGTGAATGCAACTGATATGCATAAGAGTCTCCAAAATTTTACCCACAATGGACATCAAATTTACTTTCTAACACTATAAACTTTTGTTTGCTGTTAACTCATCTTCCCAATCAAGTATTCAGCAAGGTGCAGTGTTGCTGTACAAATCAGGATGTGCCTGAACCTTGGGAATCTATTGTGTTGACTTTCTGTTAAACTGAATCCCACTTGATGGGAAGTGAATGTGAATGAATTTGTACCATTACAATCTTAAACAGATCTTTGGCTAGGTCTATGATGTGAGAGAGTTGGAAGGTTTTTTGAAATGTACCTCTTTATAGAAAATGGGTATAGACCATTGTACAGATATGATTCGTATATACCATTTGTGCAGCACCATATGGACCAAGAAGTAAGAATGATCTGAGATCCTGGATTATATTCATGAATGATATTTCTGATTCTTAAATGTGTCAGAAATTGTCACTAAAATTGGATAACACAATGGATGTCTTACACTGACATTGTGTGTCAGACTGGTTCAGTTGGTACCAATTGCACCTCTGGGTCTTAAAAGATATGAGTTGAATCCCCACATTGGGTCGTGGACGTTATGGAGTCTGACATTCAGAGTAGTGCTATGGGTGTCGTCCTTTGTATGAGATGTTAAACTACTCTTTGATTTTATCCTTAATAAGATTCTCCATAATTACACCGACAATGGATGTCAAATTATGTATCCTTCTTTCCTGGGTCTCTTTTGTTGCCTTACTTAAAAATAGGAGTAACATCTGCCATTCTCCAGTCCCCTGACGTGCTCTGGTAGTGCTGGTAGTGATATGAATAGTATTGCAAATTTCCTCTATGCCATCCTTAAGTTCTCTTTCCAGATCAGGGATGTTAACTGTCTGCTTAGTAAAAATTGAAACAAACAACATACTTAACACTATTGCAGCCTGTGCAGTATTGTAACGACCTCCCACCATCCAGTTTGAGTGGTCATATTCTCTCTCGGGCGTCCTCTCTGGGGTGCCTAAGTTTAACTTGGGTTCTAGATTGACTCTATTTTCATTTGACCCTGTTTCAGCTGGTTAAGTGCTGGTTGTTACTCGAATTTAACCAGCTGAAACATGGTAAAATGAAAATAGAGTAAATCTGGAGCCCAAGTGAAATTTCTCCCTCAATAGATTTTTGTTTCTTTTTATTGTTAGTTCACGAATCCAAACAACCAGCTGAAACTAAATCAAGTCAATTAAAGTTAGTTTTGCTCAATGTCAACAAGTTCTGCCCTTCTGACCCATATATTCATCAATAATGGAAGTAAGTAGCAAGATACAGTGCTGTGTTTTTTAAAATTCTATGGAAAAAAACAAGGATAAATAGAATCATGGAGCATTCCTTGTCTAGTTTTGTTCATGGAAATGTGAATCACATGCAATAAGCATGTAGCACTTCTAATATGTTGAAGTGTCTTAATTAATTTTTAAAAAAGTGTCTTCCTTTGAAATGGTTTTGTGTCATTTTATTGTAGATATTTTGGAGCATAGCCAGTGACATTTTCTTAACAAATGCATTCTTGTGTTCAGTTGAGGACTGCTGGTTCTGAACTGAAGATTTCCAAAATCAGCTTCACTTTGAAATATCTCTGTGCTGGATGCTCATGTCTGCTGAGAAAATCAATCAAATTTATTTAAACTCTGACCTTAGGAGGCACTGAGGGCCACATGCTATATAAAAACCACCCACTTGGATCTTCATTTGGATGATGTTCTGAAAGAATTTGCTTAAATGTCTAAGATTGTTTAGACTTTTATACCACAAGGCAGTGTTAAGTTTGTTGAACAAGTGCAATTAACATGTCATCTTGTGGGTGAGTTGGTCAAGTACTATGAGTGCTTGGAACTGTCATCTGCAAAACTGACACTTCTTCCTTTCTCTAGCCAACTCACTTGTACTCACTTTACA